ATAAACATGTCACCTTATAATTCAATTTATAGTATTTTTTGCAAGATTTTAGCTTTACCGGCATGGCACTTGTTTGTGCTAGGAGATGCTTCCATATCTCAAAAAAATAGGACAGAAAGACAAAAAGGGCTTTGGTAATTATGAATGGATACAGTTTGCATTATAGAGATGAGTTTGTGAAATATATAATGATTTCAAAAAAATAAATAACTTGTGAAAAGGTAATAAAAGAAAGGAGTTTATGTATACATTGTTATTTCAAATAATGGTTTTATTTCCCTTGAATCAATAACAATGCACATGAAAAAGTTTTGATAGGATCCCTAGCAATAAACATGTCACCTTATAATTCAATTTATAGTTTTTTTGAAAGATTTTAGCTCTACTGGCATGTTGCAGTAATTTTCAATTTTCCATTTCACTCATAATTTTTTTACTCAAGTAATCTTTTCTCTGTCTTTTGACAAATTTTTTTTTTACGCATTATTCTTAATTCATCTATTAAAACTGGACCTCTAATCACCACTGTGGATTAATTTAACAACAGCAAATGACATCTAATTAAACACTAAAATATATACCTCTGTCTTGCTCTTCGTTCACTTTGAAATATGGTATTCATTTATAACTAGATGATTTCTCACTCTTAATGTATAAAAGTTTTAGTTTGTATGATTTCCAATTTTCTTACTTTCTTTCAGTACACTACAGTCGCCATTTACTTTGTCAGTATATTATAATACAGTTTCTATTAGATATAGGAACTTTTACCTTATCAACAAGAACAATATTAATACCTACAGTTTCTTGCAAACTTATCTTGGAAAAAAATTCATACAGTAGAAGCAATTCATTTCTGACTTTGCAAACACTCTTACGAAGAAATACAGAGTGTAAATAAATCACAGATATTTATCCTTCACAAGTGAGGTGCTGAGATTTTGGCACAGAACATATATATAGTCATTCTTTTCATTACTAGTTGAAAATGTCCCTAGATACAATGACAAAACTTTACAGTTACAGAAGTATTCATAATCTAAAATAACTGCATGTACATTCATAAATCATGAGACATTTTTCTTTTCTTTTCTTTTTCAAAGCTAATACTCTTAATGTACCATGTATAAGTGAAAGGCAGAGGAAACTAATTATTTCCTGAAAAAAAAAATTGGAACAGTCATTTTCAGTTTATGGAATAATGCATTAACCATTTGCTTTGTGCTTTTCAGATCTTCTTTTTGCTTTCTAATTATAATTCAAGTGTTGGAAAATATTTAATATGATAATTATGAGCAAGAAACAAATCTTTTAGCCAATCATGCACCTCTTTCAACTTCATGCATAAATATTTCCATAGCACAAAGCAAGTTAGCTTACTAGATATAGGATTATTCAAAACATTAGCATGTTAACAAATCCACTTATATTTGCATATCATAAAATAAAATAATATAAAAGTTACTATTCATTACATTTTGTAATCAATAACTCCAGTAGCTGATGATATAAAGATTTATAGGTACCTGCTAAAATTTTAATTATATCACAAACAGCAAGATAACTCCAAGTTAGCTGTACTCTCAACAAATTACTAGTAACCCAAAACAGTGTTTAACAAGTTTATTAATAATTGCATATCACAAAAATATTTTTTTTTCTCACTTTTCACTTCTATAGAATTGCACTCCAAATACTCCAAATGGGTACCTATGCTGCTCTGAAAAGTTAAAGCTTTTGATATGACCAATTATATAGATCTTCTATATACTAGTGATAGCACTTTTTTTAGTTGACACATACCATACAACAGATCTCTGATAACTTAAACCCTTGGAATTAAGTTCAATCCTTCATATTTCAACCACTTAATTATTTCTGTTGAATTTGGCTTGTGCCCCTTGCCGCTTGTGCTCATTCTTGTGGATCATCTTGTGACGGTAGTCCCTGCTCTGCATCTTTCCATGGTTTGTGTCTTCTTTGTCTGTGAAAAAGGCAAAAGCATGTTTTTTCCAGATCATAAATTTAAGCAATCCTATATCCACCTTAGTCCTAAATTAAGCCAATGACAAGAGATATATGTTCTGTCCCCTGTAGTTTTTCTTTAATTTTGTTACATACAGATGGCTCCATATCAGCTCAGTCACCATGAAATCCATCAGTAGGCCCTAATGACTGCACCAGAATTCCCAATTCCTTCAATTTGCAGGAAAATGTGTTTTTCTTTCTAATACTATTAATATTGATACTGTAATTTTTGTATTGATATTATAATTATCAAATTGTTAATAAAATGTTGATAAAATTAAAGATAATAAAATAATACAAATGAAGCTTTCCAAAAACCAAGGAAAAGGATAAGCAGGTGAGATGGATAGAACTAATAACTGACTCCTTGGCAACTAAGCACTTGTAGAGCCATCTATGTGTAAAGACAATAGATAAACTTACATTACAGTGGGCATGGTATGTGTTCTTGCTATCCAGGCTGATTGGGTTA